GGACTGTTTCTAGGAAGGGGCCTTTCATTCTTAAGTGCAGCAATTTCCTTCTCGTAGACTTCTAACTGGACGTGATGTATTATAAGCTCCTCTGCCTTCCTAAATGCACTGCTATCTTCTGTAGCTCTAATATCCTTCCTGTGGTGTGCCACTGCATGGACAATCCGTTTCAGGCACATGATGGCTCTAACAAGATTCTTCCATGAAGAAAACCTCTCAAATCGTGAAGTCCAGGATAAGGGGGTAGACACATCCACCTTGCAAACCACAGTGTCCTGTTTGATTTCCTAATCCATAGTTGGATCTACCAAATCATATGTTGGGGCTGGACCATCTCCAGTATCTTCTAGGCGTAGCCATTCTATTGGTCCACTGAGCCATGAGTCATACAGTGCACTGTCGATAGTAGATTTAGTGCCATGGTCTGCTGGGTTCTGGTCCGTAGGGATGTAGTTCCATTGAGATGATTTGGAGAAGCTTAGAATTCTTTGAACTCTGTTGGTTACATAGGTTAAAAATCTCTTTGTGCGATTGTACACATAACCCAGAACGATCCTGCTGTCCGTGTAGAATTTGAAATGATCTGCATTGATGTCTAGCTGATCCCTTATAATAGTAGCAATTTCTACTCCCAGGACGGCCGCGCACAACTCTAAGCGTGGTATAGAAGTGGCTGGTCTGGGTGCGACTTTAGATTTACCCATAATGAAACCCAGATTGATGTCTCCACCATGACTGTGAAACAGGTAGGCCACAGTGTAAACCTATAAGGGTTTGGGACAAATATTTTAATTAGTAAAATAAACATTATCAATTATTTACAATGTACTTATTAGAGTGCATTGACCCCTAATTCAAGAAGGATGCAGAAGTATAAGACTTTTCCGTAAAAGTAAACAAACAAGTTAATCGGATTAAGGACTATATAACATACCAGGATGTTTATCTATCTACGAACATCAATCCAGGAACAATAACTGAACATTATTAAAGTTTACATTAAAGTTATACTTACTTTTGCCTAATACAAGGACACTGATCACTAGTTACAAAAACTTATGTTTAAATTATAAATTGTTTTGTCAGAATTCCAGGATTGAGACCCATTTATTGAATAACTTGTTTATCGTATATGCAAATGACTATTATGTATTGTACATTATAAATACTATCTACGGTGATCTACGATTTATCTCTTGATCTCTTTGCTCTTAACCACTATACGGTCATTGTTTGTATTCTTTGAAAACTGTTACATAAATTCTAAGAAAAGACTATTTTCCTTCTTCATTGGTTCACAAAACCAAATTTGGTGCCGTGACCAGGATTTGGCGAAGTACGAAGAAAAGACAAAAAGACGAAAACGGTAAGACATTGTTTTCTTTTCTACCTTGTTTTTAACTGACCATTTTTTATTGAAATTCTAAATTTGGATAAAATAGTAAAGTTTTCTTTCTAAAAATGGCTACGGCGAAAGTACCATCTCTGGGGGATGATTTAAGTAAAGCTATCGATGATTTAACAGCACAATTTTCGGAAACTGAAATTTTGAATGATACATCTAATTGTAATGAGGGAATTAGTTCAAATTGCTTTCCTTCTACAAGTAAAAAGGGAGATGAAGGGGATGATGAAGATAAAAAGATTAAGGAATGGATGAATTCGATTTTAAATCAGGTTAAATCAGTCACTGCTGCAATTGCTGTACCCATAAATCAGGTTATTACACCTTTTGAGGGGGATCCCGGAAAATTTAAACAATGGATAAAAGATATAGAAAAATATGCTAAGATGTCGGATATGAATAATGAAGATATTTCAAAAATAGCATATGTAACTTGTAAAGGGTCTGTGGGAGATTTTATTAAAAGATATTTGACAGAGATAGAAGCTTCTGGTGAATTACCTAGCTGGAATGATTTAAAACAATTTTTGAAAAATAGATTTGCAGAAATTACTGATGCGCAACATGCATTGGCAATCATGAGAAAGATGAGACAAAATTCCAATGAGAGTGTACAAATATTTGCAGAAAGAATTTTACAAGTCGCAGAAGATGCTTACGCGTCAGAAAATTTGGAACATGAAATAATTCAAAAACAATTGGTTGATATTTTTACTGATGGTTTATCTTTTGATTTCTTGAGAATGAAAGTTTTAAGAGAAAATCCTAAAACATTAGAAAACGCGGTTCAAGTGGCAATGAGGGAACAAAATTTGCGCAAACGTTTGGCTTTAAGGTCTCAAGATAACGGGGGTGACATATCTTCTAATCAACAGGTATTAAACACGACGAGAGATAATTTGTTATTAAGATTTCCGGAATTAAAATCAAATATTTTTCGAAAAGAAGAACCCATGGAAATTGATCATTTTCGTAATCAGCGTTGTCACAGGTGTAGGAAAATTGGGCACAGGGCAAGATTTTGTTCCTTTCAAATTTCGGCAAATAAACCAAATTCTAATAATCAAAGACCCAGAGTACATGTAAGAGAAGTTTCTAATGGTTTAAGAGAAGGAGGGTGTAATTTACAGTGTTGGCATTGTGAAAAATATGGGCATATTCGCAGAAACTGTCCTGAAAGATATTATGGGAGAAGGTTTTATCAGTATCAAAATTCTTTTAGACCACAATATAATCCTTTGAAACGTTCAAAACAACAGGAAAACTAAGAAGCTCTCTTCATAATGAAGCCGATGAAGAGAGGTTAAATAAAAGTGGTAGGAAAATTGTATATAAAATTTGTTTAACGGGAAATCCAAGTTCTTGTCTTCTAAAATTTGGGAAAAATAAGTTTAGGGCTCTAATAGATACAGGGGCTGAAGTATCACTAATAAGTAAGAAGATGTATAATAATTTAATCTCAAAACCTTATTTAAATAAAAAAGAAAAACCATATTTACAGGCTGCAAATGGTGAATCACTTTCAGTTATAGGTCGAGTTAATCTTTCCTTTAAAATGAATGGGCTTCCACTATCTCATAATTTTTATGTAACCGAAGGGCTTAATAGATGTGTCATTTTGGGAAGGGATTGGTTAACAATGAATGGAGTGAGAATGTACTTTGATTTGGGTTGTTTAAGGATTGGAAAAACATATGTAAAATTACAAGAAGATATTCATATTTCATCTTTGGTAAGAATAAATAAAAGAGTTTTGGTTAAACCACAAACGGCTGTGGTATATCATGCAAAATTAAGTTCTGCATTTCCAAGAAAATATGGGGAAATTATTGAAATTCAAAACATAGATGAGTGTATCAATGATGAACCAGGGTTATTTATAAAAGAATCAGTAGATAGAGTCAGAAACACGCGTAAAGTACCTATTCTAATTGTTAACTGTTCTAACAGAGCGTACTCGTTACAACCAGGTCTTGTTATCGGGAAAGCAAGATCCTCAGACGATCGTGAGATAAATACTATAAATTTATCCAACAATTCAAGTAATTCGGAAGATTTTAAAGAAATAGACGTGCCGGAGAAATATCATTCTTATGTAATGAAAGTCGTGCAAAATAACAAAGATTTATTTGCAAAACATGATATTGAGTTAGGACATACCGAAACTGTAAAAATGAAAATTGAAACAGGAAACCATCCTCCAATAAAAAATAGACCGTATCGCACTCCTCTGAATAAAAGACAAATCATTGATAAAGCTATTGATGAAATGCTAGACGCAAAAATAATAACTAGATCACAGTCACCTTGGTCATTTCCGTTAGTAGTCGTGGGAAAGAAAGACGGAACTCAGAGAATGTGCGTAGATTTCCGATCATTGAATAAGATTGTAACACCCGCATCATATCCGCTACCGCTCATTGATGATATTCTAAGTTTATTAGATAAATCTAAATATTTTACCACACTCGATTTAAAAAGCGGATATTGGCAAGTTCAATTAGATGAAGACAGTAAAGAGAAAACCGCGTTTGCATGCCATAAAGGGTTATTTCATTTTAATAGAATGCCTTTTGGCTTAAGTAACGCACCAGCAATCTTTCAGGAATTAATGAATATTGTTTTACAAGGGTGTGAAAGTTTTGCGACTGCGTATCTCGATGATGTTCTTATATTTTCGAAAACCGCCGAAGAACATCAAAAGCACATTCAAGAAATATTTGGCCGAATTCGTCAGCATGGTCTTAAACTTAAATTGAAGAAATGTAAGTTTTTCCAACAGGAAACTGAATATCTTGGGTTTGTAATAAATTCAGAAGGTGTCAAACCAGATGAAAAGAAAATTCAAGCTATCAGAACACTAGCAGCACCAGCTACGGTAAGAGAAGTTAGAGGGTTCATTGGTATGTGTAGTTATTATCGTCGCTTCATACCAAACTTTTCTAAGATCGCAGAACCACTGATCGAGCTTACACGTAAGTATTCAAGATTTAAATGGACGGAACAATGCCAGGTCGCTTTTGATTTTCTAAAAGAAAGTTTAACCGTAGTACCTTTGCTTGCATATCCGGATGTTAACAAACCTTATGTTCTGTACACGGATGCTAGTGATAACTGTATTGGGGCTTGCTTAACACAGAAAACAAATGAGGGAGAGGAGAAACCCATTTATTATCTTTCGCATAAATTGGGGAAAACACAAGTAAAATGGTCTACCATTGAAAGAGAAGCTTATGCAATATATTATGCATTACAAAAGTTAGATCATTACTTGCATAATGCAACATTTACTATTAAAACCGACCACAAACCCTTAAAATATATACTAGATGCCCCTATGCAAAACAAGAAAATACAACTCTGGGCATTAAGTATAGCTGGGTACAATTGTAAGGTTGAGTATATTGAAGGTAGGTATAATTGTTGCGCAGACTTACTTTCAAGACTTCCATCTAGTAAGTTGGACCAAAGTAATAAGGAGGATAGAGATGAGACTGACCCGGACATTAATGATAACACATTTGAGGTAAGTGCAATAAATTCCAACCGAATTGAACCTAAACGATTTGCCAACTCTGATTTCGCGATTCCTGATGATTTAATTAAGCCATTTATAGATTTACCAGAAGGTATCGATATTCAAAAGTTACAAAAATCAGACGAACAAATTGTTAAGTTAAGGGAAAGAATCGAAAAAGGTAAGGCTACTAAATTTGAAGAACAGAAATTTTTGGAAATTGAAGGACTTCTCTATTATTTGTCAGATGGGAATTCAGAATCTCCTCGACTGCGTTTGTATGTTCCTCAAGAATTAGAAGAGATTACTTTGAAACAATATCATGACAATTTGGGACATATGGCAGTAGATAAAACTTATGATGCTATCAGACAAAAATATTATATTCCAAATTTATACAAAAAGTTAAACTGTTACATAGAACAATGCATAACCTGTCAAAGTAGAAGTTCAAGAAAAAGTCATCCTCCAGTACAAGAGACTGAAATCCCACCTTATCCTTTTGCTAAAATTGCACTTGACTTATCTGGACCTTACCCAACCACTCTATCCGGCAATAAGTATATTGTCTCATTGATTGATATTTACTCAGGTTGGCCGGAAGCATTTTGTGTTGCTGACAAATCAGCTGATAATATAGTTCATATAATTTTAGATGAAATATTTCCCCGTTATGGTTGCCCTTTACAACTTTTGACAGACAATGGCACAGAAAATGTTAATAAAAAAGTGGAAGAAACTCTAAGAGAATTAAATATTCATCATATAACTACATCGTATTACAATCCACAGGGTAACGGTAAAGTAGAAAGGTTCCATAGGACTCTGCATGACGTTATGGCTAAGAAGGTTCAAGAGGAAACACAAACCTGGGATCTTTATCTTAATCAAACTTTAGCTGCCATCAGATTTCATGTAAATGAATCCACGAAATACTCCCCTTTTTACCTTTTATATAATAGAGATGTAGTTCTACCTTTAGACACTATATTCAAACCACGAAGAAGGTATATGGGAGAAGATCAACATAGGGTTGCATTACAAGAACAACATAAAGCATTTGTTCAGGTTCATAGAAATTTGAAAGAAGCTAAACGTAAACAGAAAATTCAGGCCGATAAAGGAAGTAAGGAAGAAACCTTTCAAATAGGTGACCCTGTTTATTTAAAAAATCATCGCAGAACAGGTAAGTTAGACAGACGATGGGTGCCATATTACCGTATTATTGAGCAAACAGGACCGGTAAGTTTTATTGTCAAAAATCAACTTAGTGGTACCACCACGAAAGCACATGCTAGGCATCTCCATCATGCTAAAATATATGAATGGGAATTACCACAAAATTCAGGGGACAGAGTTTTAAGACAAACACAATATGTAGTTCCACCAGAAAATGTTTCAGAGGAAGAGGGTTCAGATGCTGAAGAACAATCACCATTACAAAGACTGGTAAGTCAAAAGCGAGTTGAACGCGAAAATTCATCTGATGAAGACGATATTCCATTACAAGAGCTTAGAAGAAGAATACGCGCGCGTGCTTTGCGTGACAGACCGGATAATGAAAACACAATAGAAAAACAAAATAATACTGAACATCCGCCATTACCTAATGTAAATAACAGAGAGATACAAACTGAAATAGAATATAATTCTGACTCTTCTATTGATATAGATCATCAGCAGTCTGATTTTGACTCCGACGAGGAGCCAAATAGGGTAGATATTAATTCTGAAATTAATGATTCACCAAAACAATTAGAAATTGAACAAGAAATGGAAATTGATGAAGTTAAATGTGTTAGTGAAAATAATAACCAAGTACCAACACCAGGCTTCAATAATAAAGTTAGACCACCTATTACACCAAGAACAGGTGTAAAGGTACCCAATAAGGGATGTAATGAGAGCATTAAACACGGGTATAAACCAGAAGTAACTCCTAGGAGATCTAAGAATCATAAAGTAAATAATGGGGATCCTTATAAAAGAAATATGAATGATTTTGCCCAGTTTTTGAAGGCCATGGGGAAATTGTTTCAAGTGTAAAGTAAAATATTTATGATTACAGAACCAACCAAACTGTGTACAGATTTTGAACATCTTTACAACTATGGATACTAAACAAGTGGTCTTTAATAAAGTTTTGCCTAGTACAGTCTTATTGGAATTTGATCATCTTGCCATGGTATTGTCAATGTACATATGTAGCATAACTTTAGAAGCTTAGCAAGAGAAAATTGTAACAAAAAAAAAAAAATGTTCAGCATTTTATGGCTCTTTGGTTTTACCTCCATTTTATTATAAGCACATTTGATCTCACACCCTCGTTTGATAAATTTGTAAAAAACTATCATTTTAAAAAAATCAATTTGTGGAAATCTTTTAATGATCATTTTCCAGATCTTAAATCTGTATCATTACCAGGGAAATTAAAACCTATTAAAGAAATTCCTATACAAAATTTGATTAACGAATTGTCACTAGCTAAAATTAAATCAATGCCCCATGAAGAATGGTTACAATCGCCTTGGTTTTATATATCATCATTTTCGGCTCTTTTCTTTTTGGTTTGTATTATCATTAAATGTCGTAAACAAATCAGTAAACGTTGTCAAGAAACTAAAAATAAATGGTCAGTTAAGTTTAAGGGTAGAGGGAGTTCGATGTCTAAACCACCTTCTGAGGCCGCCACCATAGATGATACTGAAATATACGCAAAAGACTGGAGGGACATGTCAAACATGGGACAGGAAGTTAAACTGGTACAACAGTATATTCAAGGAAAGAAGGATTTCATAAACAGTTTGGAACAACGCTCTGGTTCAGAACAGAATTCAAGAATACAGGATCCACTGATGGCTTCTACAATGAAAGGCGATAATACCGCCTGGAGTGGCGATAATTACACTCCGTCATCTACCAAATCTCCGGGATTATACCCATTACATGAACTAAAAAAGTAATTTGCATCTGAAGAAATACCTTATATCAAGAATGATGCTAAAAATGGAAAGGAACAGTATTCCATTACTCATATACATCTATGCGGAATGATGAATGTGTAAACGTGTATATCCATGCATAAATATATACCTTTATATGTGTGTAACCCAAAATACATTACTATCCGAGTCATACACTATATATTCCTAGAGACAAATTCGGATATCAAGAAAAGGAAAACGAAGAAACATCTGAACATTGAATGACCATTAAGAACTCAATGCGATTACTCATGTGAAGTGTGTTTCCGTGTTTCACTTCTTATGAAGATTAATATGTCATATATTTTTCCTAACTGGGTGTTTTGATGCAGGAGTGATTCGATTAAATTTAGAAATTTCCTGCCGAAATTTCTAATTACATGGGGACGAATGTAAACCTATAAGGGTTTGGGACAAATATTTTAATTAGTAAAATAAACATTATCAATTATTTACAATGTACTTATTAGAGTGCATTGACCCCTAATTCAAGAAGGATGCAGAAGTATAAGACTTTTCCGTAAAAGTAAACAAACAAGTTAATCGGATTAAGGACTATATAACATACCAGGATGTTTATCTATCTACGAACATCAATCCAGGAACAATAACTGAACATTATTAAAGTTTACATTAAAGTTATACTTACTTTTGCCTAATACAAGGACACTGATCACTAGTTACAAAAACTTATGTTTAAATTATAAATTGTTTTGTCAGAATTCCAGGATTGAGACCCATTTATTGAATAACTTGTTTATCGTATATGCAAATGACTATTATGTATTGTACATTATAAATACTATCTACGGTGATCTACGATTTATCTCTTGATCTCTTTGCTCTTAACCACTATACGGTCATTGTTTGTATTCTTTGAAAACTGTTACATAAATTCTAAGAAAAGACTATTTTCCTTCTTCATTGGTTCACAACAGAAGCAATAGCAACCTCCGAGGCATCTGTGAAAATCAGTACATTCTTCTCTTGAAGCTGTGAGAAGCCAATGGGTAGGTACTTACGAGGTACATTAAATGCTCCAAGACGAGTCAATGATTGGGTCCAATCATCCCATCTGCTCTGGAATTCTTCTGGTAAGGGAGCATCCCAGTCTACAGAAGGTGCCTGTGTCATTTCTCGAAGAAGTAGCTTTCCCTGAATAGTGATAGGCGCTATGAAGCCTAGAGGGTCGTACAGGCTATTAACACATGATAAAACTCCTCTTTTAGTGTACGGTTTCTCCTTCCTGGTAAGTTTAAACCCAAAGGCATCCCTCTGAAGATCCCACACGAGTCCTAGACTCCTCTGGGTTGGAAGATCATCATGTGTAATATCTAAGTCAATCAAGTCCTTTGCTAGATCTTTCACATCAAAGCTCTGCATCACTCTAGGGTCATTAGACGCAATCTTATGTAATCTGAGGTTCCCATGGGTCAGTAAGGCCTGAGTTCGTCGTAGGAGATCTATGGCTTCTTGTGATGTTGGTAGGGACACCAGACCATCATCCACGTAAAAGTTCCGCTCCACAAACTCTCTTACGTCCTTCCCAAAGCTGTGTTCTGCTTGAATGGCAGCAAAACGAAACCCATAAGTTGCTACAGCAGGTGATGGGGTGTTTCCAAAAACCTGGACTGTCATGCGGTACTCGGTTAGAGGCTTGGTAGGATCGTTGTCTGTGTACCATAAAAATCTTAAGAAGTTCCTATGTTTCTCTGAGACACCAAAGCAGTGGAACATTTGCTCTATATCTGCGGTCACAGCTACGGCTTCCATCCTAAAACGCATCAACACTCCAATGAGACTATTTGTAAGGTCTGGACCTGACAAAAGTACGCTGTTCAGGGACAAGTCCTGGAAGCGAGCTGAAGAGTCGAACACCATGCGAATCTTCTCCGGTTTAAGTGGGTGGTACACCCCGAAAATTGGTAGGTACCAACATTCTTCGTTTGGTTTCAGAGGTGGGGCTACCTCTGTGTGATTTCTGTCAAAAATGTTCCTCATGAATTCCAAGGCATGTCCAAGTTTGGTGGGATTTTTTCTCAACGAAGCATCTAAGATCATAGCCCGTCTCATTGCTTGGGTGTAATTATTTGGTAACACAGGCCTATCATGTTGGAAGGGTAATGGGGCTGTCCATTTTCCATAGGAATCTCGGTGGAACTCCCTGTCCATTATTTCCAGAAACTGGCGGTCCTCAGTCGACATTCCAGGGGTCTCATCATTCACCGTAGTACAGAATATTCCTGAACAAGAACCGACAACATGTTGATGTTTTTCTTGTGTGATAAGTAACTTGGAATCACAAGGCTCAAGTAGGGTACTACGCCCATTGTCCAACACATGAGTCTTATTCACTACAATGGAATTAGGTCTATGAGCACTACCCAAACACACTTCACCGATAATAGTCCACCCCAAGTAGAGTTTTTGCGCAAACGGCAAGTCTGGGGGCCCAAGTTTTTGTTCGATCACATGATGTGCTTGGATCAGATCCCTTCCTATGAGAAGCAGAATCTCGGCTGTATGATCCAAATCAGGAATTAATGGTGCAATATCCAACAGATGTTGATATGCAGACGCCACTTCAGGAGTCGGTATTTCCTTACGATTGTTGGGAATCTCGTCACATTCTATAATTTTAGGTAAGTACAACTTCTGTTCAGCTGACACTGGCTCAATGACGAATCCCTCTGCTGTTCTTCCAGAAAATGTAACACTCCCACCGCAGGAATTCAACGTGAAAACACAGTCATTGCCCTCTAACCCAAAGTGATCAAAAAACTTGGAACGAGCTAAGGTTCTATTGCTCTGATCGTCTATCATAGCGTAAGTTCTAAAGGTAAGATCAGGTCTGTTAGACGGGTATACGTTCACAAGAACTATCTTCCCACAAGATCGGCCAACTCTATCCTTCCCACACAAGAGGACGTGATAATGTTTTCATCTCCCTTCCCAGATGGTGATTCCTTAGATGAAATCTCCCCGCCATTCTCTTGCCCAGAGTCTCTATGAAAGTGCATACACGTAACATGGCGGTCGCTTTTACAAACGTCACAACTCACTTTAAGTTTGCACTTGTTGGCCCTATGCTTTCCCTTGCAGCAACGGAAACAGAGTTCCCTACTTTTCAGAAAGTCGCGTTTATTTGGGAATGTCATTGCCAGAAAGGCACGGCATTGTTCCAAGGAATGGTCAGCCTTGTGTATAGGGCACCGAATAGAGGATGTTGGTGTTTCGGTACCAACGTCTGACTTCCGGACAAAGACTTTGTTTGTAGGTTTCTCTCTTGTCGGGTGGATACCTGGTACTAGAAATAAGACCTGGATCATTTTTCAATTCACATATCTCCTGTATGAAACTGACAAATATGCTAAACGGTGGGAATGGAACATGATTCAAACGTTTATACTGAGATGCACGGGTGGCCCATTTATCTTGTACTTGATAGGTGAGTTTACTAACAATAGGCAATATGCCTGAGGAAGTGTCATAGTAACCAAGTAGTCTGGAATATTTTGGGTCCTGCTTGTTGGACTCAATCTCATACAGCAAGTCAAGTAGATCATAATAACGCTTTGGATCCATCTCTGTAATTTTTGGAAAGTCCTTGAGCTTTGACTTCAACGCTGCCTCCACCATTTCTGGTTTTCCATAGAGGTCTTCTAATCGTGCCCATATCAGGGATAAACCCCTCTCAGGTTGGTGAGTATTTGCTGAACGTATGGATAGAGCGTATCTTTTTGATTCGGGGCCCAGCCATTTTGTCAATAAATCAAGTTCTTCGATTGGCGATACTTTCAATTCCTTCAGAATATTCAGGAAACCAACTTTCCACACTGTATAGTTTTGCGCCGAGTCATCAAATGCCGAGAAACGATGTAATAGTAAATCCTTTTTCAAAAGGTAGTTACTGAGGTCAACTATAGGTGACTGTTCATGAGGTTGAACATGACTGGTAGTTGGAAAATGAAATCCTGCTTGACTGATGCTTGCAGGTCTTGAGCGATGTGAGGCATCATCATGTTGAACATAGTTCGGTGTGATTTCTGAGTGGTTGCTGGCCTGCGAGTTCACATAAGCTTCAGTTCTTTCTCTGGCCGTCCGTTCCACACTTTGTTCTTCAATGTCAAATTGAAGACTTCCTTGAGATCCACGATCGTAATTTTCCATGGCGTTTACTTCTGCGTTTGCCACAGCTGCTGCTTCTTTTTCCTTAGAAAGCCATATATCAATATCGGTAGCTGCCTTTTGTTTTTCTAGAGCCGCCTGCTCTTCCAAGAATTTAAGTCTTGTTTGCTGGGTCTCCGCTTTCACTCATTTTTTGAATATCTCTGATATTGTCTTTGAGGCTTGTGATGAAGTCCTGGATTTCACTTCGAACTTTTCCGAGAGTCGTTCGGCTGCCTCTAATAGTTTATTATGTAGGACATCTCGAAATGTGAACACTATATCGGAATATGTACTATACTGAGACTCATGCTGCTCCAGTTTCTGTAGAGCTTGTTCTGTGCGAGCTCTTCCAAGGAAGTTTGCTAGGGCTTGACTTTCTTTAAGGTACTGTTTGAATTTTGCATTTATGTGATCTTCTGTTGTCCTTAGGTATTTCCTGTCTGTATTGTCACCATCACAATTTGCGATGAGGTCCTCTACTTCCCTCCACGCGCTAGTGCACTTTTCTTGTAGATCAAGGAACGTTTGGTCAAAGGATGCCTGACCCTTCTCTGTAAGAGTCCGAATCCTGGATTGTTTATCATCCTGTTCGTCTTTGACCTGTTGTTTCTCCCCTTCCCCTGTTGCCATCGTTCTACAGGTTGTCCCTGGTCATAATCTTTTACTGTTCTGCCTCTGTGCAGAGTGTTTACCAAACCAACAAACCAAAACAATAAGGGCGGATCACTCTTTATTGCATCGATGCTTGTATGTGTATGGTAAAAGACTGAAAGTAATAAAGAGACAAGATTTACAAAAGGATTCATACAATTCAGTGATACCCAATTAACCTTATTTTACATTGTAAGTGACAAATTATAGACAAACAGGAATAATATCCAAATTTAGTGAACATTTTTCCAATTTAAATTCAATCATAAACTGGCCTATCATAAAAAAAATTAAAATGCACTCTTAGTAACATGTAGGTTATTTATCACATAAACTGAGAAACAATATAGTGTTTACATACATAGCAGATTTTTACTTAACCATTTACTTTCTAATACACATCGAAATCTATTTCCCTATCTGATCAAAAGTAAACCGTAAAATATAACGTTAGATAATACATAAAAACTTACTTATGGTGCAGGGATGTACCCGTAAAAGTGAAAAATAGGTTACAACAATGCTTGGAACAAGCGAAAATGGCCTCCTAGCCTCATGTAGGAACAACATAAAATATTCTAAAAAACAAACCATAAAGGGTTACATACCCGGAATAATGATCACAATGTAAAAAGAAAGATAACTCTTACGAGGTATAAGTTGTGTAACACTACAATTCAACCTGTGTACATAAAGAAAACTAAGAGCCTAGCGTTTGTTTACATTTTTCTTCACTTTTGTCAGCTGCTCAGTCTCTAACATTCATCCTTATTTTTTGGGTAGACCTTTGGTCAAATTTTCATGATAAACTTTTATTTTATCTTTGAATTTTACTCACGATAAATGTGTAAATCTGTTGGAAAATATCATCGCAATCATTCCATGAACAGCTGCCAAACACCTCGGCGCTTTCGTAGTTCAATGTAAAGCTGTCGCCAGTGTCTCCTTTTTTATCAGTGTTTTATGATAAGTATGCCTTTGGTTACTAAAACCGTAGAATGATTTTGATCAAATTGCAAATTAACTGGCTCGGACAAGTGTCTCAATCCATCGGATCCATATCCATCCCTTTCCGGCGACCGAAATTCCTCAAACTATTTATCATCAAACTTTGGACGTGTTTCTTGTGTCTTTTCAGCATCGATTATCATTTTTTAAGAATAAAAATATTCCCAGACAACAATCTGTTTACTATTACTGATCACAAGTAGCCTTTCACAAAATATTCCCTCCGAAATCGATTCCTTATCTTAATGAATTCGAAGCGTAACCGCCATGCAAGCCGATTTACACCTTGCGTCATTTTTCAAAATCTACGACGGACGGTTAGTGCAATAAATTAAATTCGAAAATATTCAATGGTCTGTCTCAAATGTATATATATAGGATTTGATCACGTGACCGACCCACTTCAATTCCCATTGAAGTTTATAAACTTGTTATTTATTTCTTAAATACACATTTGCCCTTGTTGAATGACAAGTATAATAGGAAAAATAACCGAGAAAAAATAAAGATGAGAACA